ATTGGACCGTAGTGCTAAGACAGAGCCTTGCTGTGCCAAGTGTTAATCTTTTGGTTGCTGAATGGTGGGGAGATCTGGGGTTCTAGGGGTTCTTGGGGTTCCCCACCAAGCTTGTTTTGTTCAATATTTGTTCTGGACAGAAGAGCTGGGATGGCCAGGTCAGTGGTGTAGTACCTTTCTCATCTCCAACTATTGTAATATTTTAGCAACTGGTACAGTTCCAGAAAGTGCGCATCCTGGCCGAATGTCAGCCCTGGTGGTAGCTTTTTGCAGGGCACGGGTGGTGACTCCCAGCAGTGCTGGTGCTAACTTGTGTCACTTCCTAGATCCAGAGTATCACAGATGAGTCACGAGGCTCAATTCGGAGAAAGAACCCAGCCAACACTCGGCTCCGCCTCAACGTCCCAGAAGAGACAGCTGGTGACAGTGAGGAGAAACCAGAGGAAGAGGTGTGCAGCTGAGGTGGTTTGGCCCTAGCCAGTGAGAGCAGACCCTTGGTCTCCAAAGGAGTCACCTTCTATCCCTTCATTCATCTGTCAGGTGCAGCTGATCCATGACCAGAGTGCTCCCAGCTGCCCCAGCAGCTCACCATCCCCGGGGGAAGAACCTGAGGGGGAGGGCGAGACAGATCCTGAGAAAGTGCATCTCACCTGGACCAAGGACAAGTCGGTGGCAGAGAAGAATAAAGGCCCTAGTCCTGTCTCCTCTGAAGGCATCAAGGACTTCTTCAGCATGAAGCCGTACGGGACTGGGGGCTAAGGGCTGTGGGCTGGGGTGAGCTGAAAGCAACAAGGCTGTGCCCCATGGCAGAGCAAGTGGCAGAAGGTGTCCTGGTCTGGCAGTCTGCAGACCCAGCTCACACATTTTCTTGCTTTCCCCATCTGAAACATGGGGCCTTGGGCCTGATTGCCAAGGGTCAGTATTCTCAGGTGCAGGCAGTGGAAAGGTGAAGGATGTGGGGACTAGGGGGACAGGACCAATAATGGTGGCACAAGTCCTCAGCCTCTTCCTCTCTTTTGACCCCTCTTTCTTTCTCTCTTTGCTTTTCTTGTGTTTCCTGAAGGGAATGGGAGAACTTGTAAGTGCTTCAGCATTTTTTCCCTCTCTCTCCTAGGTTGTTGCCCAGGGTCCCTGCCCTCCTCACTCTATCATGACACCCAATTCGTGCCCTTAACCTCTGGGGTCTTCCACTAGCCCAGCTTAGAGAGGTCTGGGGTTGGTGGTCTCCAGCTTGCTAGGACCGGGCTCCACCCAGTAGCCCGGTTCTGGCTGGGAGGGCGACTGGATACCGTTCTTCCCTCCCCGGGCTCACGCTCTCTGCCCCTCCCACCTCCCGCAGGAACCAGTCCAACGTGCGGCGCATGCACACTGCCGTGCGGCTGAACGAGGTCATTGTGCAGAAATCCCGGGACGCCAAGCTTGTTTTGCTCAACATGCCTGGGCCTCCCCGCAACCGCAATGGAGACGAAAACTGTATCCTGGACTTACAAGTTGAGGGGACATGGGAGGTGGACGTCAGGAAACTTGGGTCCTAGCCCTGACGTGGAAGAGCTGAGCCCTTCCTGCTTCCGGATTAGCACCTCGGACAGGGACGCAGGTGCAAGCGTTCCCTGGCGGCCAAGCATGAGCCAGTTTCATGGGAGGGAAGGGCACCGGGTCTTTCTCCTTGACCGGCTCTCAGACATGGAATTCCTGGAGGTCCTAACAGAGCACCTGGACCGGGTGATGCTGGTCCGCGGCGGCGGCCGCGAGGTCATCACCATCTACTCCTGAGAGCCAGGACCAGCCCCGTGGCCCTGGAGCCCTCGCCACGCCACCCCTCCCCCCCGCCACCGTCACCGTTTACATACAGACCCTGTGCCCGCGCCCTGGCCCCTTACCCCGCTGCCTGAAGCCGGAGGCCACGCCTGTCGTCGGGGCTAACTCGGAGAGGGCGCCCCCCTGTGCGCAAACCAGAGCCCCCTAGAGCCCCATTGGCTCATGGGTCTGCGCTGCCCTTTTTCTAAGCCTGGCCTCGTCCGGTCGGAGGAGACGCTGCAATAAAGGTCGGGAGGAGGCGCGGAGGGCAGAGGAGCTGGGGCCTCGAGGACCCCCAGGTAGTCCACGCTGCCCCTTTTCCCCTCCCCACGCCCCGCTGTGGCCCCCGATCTGCGCTCCTCCGGCGCTGCTCTCCCGCTCCCGGCGCGGGGTGGGAAGGGTGCGCTCTCCGCCTCTGCCGCCCCTTCTCCCCGAGCCACGGGGCGCGCGCCGGCCGAGCCTATACATAGTGTACAGGAGACATCGAGTGTATTTTTAACGTCCCCATATTTATGTGACTAGAAGCGCATCAGACTTCTCACCACTGTCGAGCTCTCCCGCTGGGGGTACCCCGGAGAGTTGGAGGCCTCGGGGAGCTAGGTTTTCCTTGACGTCTGAGAGTTTGAGAGCAGAAGTGTTTTAGGCCCACGCGGGGGTCGTGGTCCTAGTCCCTCGACATCTCCGCCCTGCTCTCGCCCTATCCGCACGCCCTTGGCTTCCCACCCTTCCCTCCAGTTCTTTTTGGAGAGGAGGCGAGACGTGTTCAACTTTTCCCGGATTCGCCTCCCAGCGGATGTGAGCTTCCACAGCGGCTGCAGAGACGCGCGCAACCTCTTCTCGGCTCTTATGCAAGTTGGGGCCAGGATAGGGGAGGGGCGCTTCTCAAGGGGAAGACACCGAGAGAGGCCCGCGCCCCACCGAGGAAGCCCCGTCCCGGTGCCTTCGCTGGGGAGCAGGCGTCTCTCCTCAGTCGGCTTGTCGCCTGCTCCCCTTATCCCATGGCTCCTCGCCAAAGACTGAAATCGTGGAGCTGGAGGGCTCTCCTCCCCAGACTTTCCTCCCTGGGACAGGTGAAGGAGGAGGCGGAGCGCCACCCCTGATGTTCCCACCCCCAGGGAGGCAGCTTGTCCCGGCGACGCAGCCGCCTGCTCTGTGCTGTAGGTCTGGCCTGGCTGCCTAGCAGCGGCATCTTGCTCTGTTTCCCAGGCACCTGGCGTGGGGGAGGGCTGGAGTCGTCACGCGCTTTGTTCTTAGCGCCTCTCTGCCCTCTAACTAGGGTCCAAAGGCCTTTGACTTTCCCAACTCCAGTCTTTGGCGCTTCAGCTCCAACCGCCTGGTCTGAGGCGCCCTCTGTCCTTAAAGCGCGTTGGCCGGGTTTCCTTTCCCCAGGGTATGCTACTAAAGGGGACAGGCAGGCACTGCATGCTCGTTCCAGCACCCTCTGGGACTGGGTACAGTACCTCCAGCCCAAGGGCCCTGACCTAGGCACCTAGTTAGATACATCTTGCCCACTTCCTAGAGCTGGGGCCACCGAGTACCTGACCTCACCACCTCCTTTCCTTTAAGCCCACGGCAGAGAGCTGGAGCCATCCTATTCAGGGTCAGGATGAGGGTAGGTCTGGCAGTCTGTCGGTTAGGCCAAGGCCCCTCTGATATTTAATCAGGGGCCTAAGTAGATTCTTTTATGTACCATTCAGAAAGTTAGAGGTGTTAGACACCAGCTCCCTGTATCCTTCAGAAGACTGACCTCTGAGAACCACAGCTGGGTCCCTTCTTCTGGGGGGGCCTGAAGATTGCTGGGCTGAAGTTGTGGGCTACATAGGAGAAAGGGGCTGTATCAACATCAATTAGGGAACCAAAGTTGCACTATCTGGGCCCAGTCTGGTTGGCAAGAGCAAAGTTTCCGTTGATGAAAAAAAATCCCGAGTTTTCTGTGCTACATGTGCAATATTTGTTATGAATGTTATCACAAGTCATTCATCAAATTATCTTTATAATCACTGTAGCTAGATGTTTCATGTCCATTCAAGTGACTTTTATTCTGAGTGCAATATTTCAATAGCCTTGTAGTGCTAACTAGTGTTGCTTTTGTTTTAGATGATCTATGTGCAGGGCAATGCAATGAAGTTGAAAACCCTTGTAAATAGGAGAGGTTGCAAACCAAATCAAGAGTATTTATTACTATTATTACTATTATTAGGCCTGCCTTTAATTTTCAGTGTGTTTCAGTATTCCGCATCCTGCCTCAGTACTGATCTTGTGTTCTTTGTGCCAATATGAAAAGGAGAGGGTTGGTTCTTTCCTTTATTGTTGAATGCTCCCATTTAATGCTTTATGGCTTTTACTGTATTAATTTTTTAGACTCCCGTCTGCACAAAATGCAATAAAAATAATTTTATTATACCCTTCATGGCCTGAGGTGTGCTGTTTGGACACTCCAGGGGCCCTCCAAGAGAACCCCACGCTCTTAATGATAAAACACTGACCTTCACTGACAAAACTGGGCTGATGCTTCCCGTCTGGTCTACTGACATCTCTGGGGCCCTGGCCTGGAGGACACTGCACTAACATCTGGCAGGCACTTACTGGTGTCAGGCTGCACTGACTTTCCCCATGAGGTAGTGAGCACATACTAGGTGAGGCACACTCAGTGCCACTGGCACTTTGGCCCTTAACCTCCTGAGGTCCTATGTTACACACTTCATCATAGTCACCCCAAGTTTATCAAATGCTCTTCAAGGCTCCTTCAGGTTCTGTGACTACAGATTCCGCCAACTGCCTGCCCAATAGGTAGAACAGAGGGTGGCAACTGAGAAAAATGTAAAAACTGGAGTGTCCTCTGTCCCCATCAACCAGAAACGGCCTCCTCATAGCCTTTTCTTTCCTAGAATGAGGACAAGCCTGCTGACACAATGAATGACTACCAGAAGCAGGATGTTGAACACAGCAGTGTAATTAGCCAGTGGGCTTTTGCTCTGAAGCGTTATTAAAAGCTTCTAAGTAGATGAGCCATGTACACACAGAAGGTAGGGTTAAAACAGGTTTTGAGGTCTGACAGTACATAGAGGACAAAGGAGGGCATACTGGAGTCCTCACAGCAGGGCCCCTTACAATGTGACCCTCGGAAAGAGTGCTCTGAAAAAAGGTGATGGAGACATTCACACTCAAGAAAGATGAACACAGCTTTAACTTTTTCATTTTAATTAAAAAGTAATCATTTCATCTTATTAACAACACAAGAGTTCCAAAGAGGGAAAACAAAACACTATATAACACAACAGGTTGGAACATAAAATGCTGCCATTTGGGGACTTTGAGTTTTGAAACCATTGTTTGCTCAGCAACTGTCAGGGACTCAGCTTAAGTTGCTGCCCTTCCTCACCCCTGCTGGGGCCCTCCAGACTGTGATCCTCAGGGCTCCAATGAGCACACTGCCTAGGGAGAGGGCAGCTTTCTGTGGCTCCACCTTGAGCAACAAACATCCAGGAGCCCTTCCTTTTAACTTCACTCTGGCTCAAAAGTTATGAACAGCCGTCTGTCTCGACAACATGTCCAGCTACTGGAAGTCTGACATCAAAATGGTTCCTACCTCCTGCTGCTCAGAAAACAGAATAAGTCTAGATGAAAATAAGAGCCTAGTTTTTTGAGCCAAATGCTCAAAACAAATCATTGAAGAAATGGATGTTCACGGCCAGAGTTTCAGAACCGACTCTGAAAGTGCCGCTGGAGAGGGGGATGCTGACAGAAATGGTGAGGGGGAAGAGTGGTGGGGCCCAGATTCACAGTTTGGGTTAAACTGCTGCTGACTGGAGCTGTTCAGTCCATTGGCGATCCTCCAACAAAAAGGAAAAAAAAAAGAAAAACAAAAAACCATCTTGACTCAGGCAGAAAAGTTCCTTCTTTTGTGGCTTCTGTGGCAAGTCCTCAGCAATCCAGAGTAGCTGGTTTGTGAAACTTTCAGGAGACCCCCAAACGTGTGGGTTGGGGTTTTAATGATGCAGCTCCTGCCAACGCCCGTTTGCTCCTCTACAACTCTAGGCACGGACTGTGGGAAGGAGCCAGGGCTCTGGTTGACATGTGTAAGGCTGGAAAGACTTGGGAGGTTCAAAGTGAGCAAAGGTGGTGCCCACTGACATGACAAATGCCATTCCAAACTCAGCCAGTTGGGCCTGGCTTCCTCCTTTCCTCTCCCAAATTCAGCAGACAGAAGGACCAGAGAAATCTCACCAAATATAAACTGAGCCCAGACACTTGTACTGCCCAAGTGACCCCAGAGATTTATTTTCTACAGAAAACCAAAAAACAAAACCAAAAATAGATACAGCCCCAAATGCACTATAAACTGACTTTGTAAGGAATAAACAACACGGCCTTGAGCAGGAGAGCAGGTGGTAGAAACTTATGACATTCGACGTAGACCTGGAGAGCGCAAAGAACATCCTCCAAACAACTCTTATTTAGAACGCAGTAAGTGGGAGGAGGCCAAGGGATGAGGGTACTAGGGACAGTTGAAAGATTTAGCCTCAGTAATGCCTCTGGTAAGATCCCATGGGGGCCTGGGGCCGTCCCACCTGTGCTGTGGTCTGGCTAACCAGGTGGGAAAGAGCAGGGCCACTCTGGATCAGGGTGTCCAGAGCCTTCTGTACACTTGGATTGTCAAAGTTGATACTTGTGGAAGACACAGGCCTCTGGCTACCCATGTTGCTAGCAGGTGCCAGGCGACTGGAAGGCTGGCCAAAGAGCCCTTGCGAAGGAGCCCCAGGCCTGGGGCCCATGTTCCGAGCAGATCCTGCCTGTCCCAAAATGTTTGGAGGCTGATTGCCAGAGGCTTGTGATCTTTGCTGAGGCTGGTTGTTTGCTGCTGTGGAAAAATTCTGGTTCTGGGTGCTTCCGGCAGCAATTGAGGGGGATGCAGAGCTGCTATTGGCCGCAACCGTGCCACTATTGAAGAGGCTGAGGATTTTGGCCTGAAGCTCTTGTTGGGAGGTGGGGGGTGCAGCTGGAGTGGGTGTAGCAGAGGGGAGCACTTGTCCGCTCTGGAGCGGTTGGGGGCTTGGCTGTGTCTTCAGCGAGGCACCCGAGGTCGCCCCGAGTGGTTGGCGGGAAATCGGGCCTGGAAGACAGAAGAGGGAGGTATCTGGTTGAAAGTACCCCCAAGGGCAGGAGGCCTAGCAGCCAAAGGAAGAACAACAATCACTGAATCACATCAATCACATAGTACACAGACAATATCAATTTCCCAAAGGGGCCACTTCTTGGTATGTGCTATTTACAGAAAATAGCTTAGTTTTCTCAGAGAGCTGCTATAAAACAAACATATAAACAAAAAGGGGCAGCCATCTTTGTTACCAGGGAGCCAGCAATACTGGTCCATCCACCACCACAATAACTATAGGGACCAGAATTCAGTACCCAAATCTTAAGTTGTCATTATTACTGTATCAGCATGGAAACCCATGGGAGAACTCATGGGATGGACTCATTTCCTTTACCCACCCCCAAAATCCTTGGGTCTGCCACCCTCCCAACAGAGCCTGGGGATTAGAGAAATGCAGAGTCAGAACTTCACCTCGGCCCTGCCACGTAGCTCACCAGGCAGAGAGTCGATGCTGCTCCTCATAAGCCGCTCCTTCCGCTCTCGAAGGTAGTTGATGATCTTGTCAGTCTCTTCGGCAGTGAGGTACCTGTTGTCTGCCAGCAGGTTAATGAGGCTCTGGATGGCTGGAGGGTGGCCCCCACGCACGCCCTCCTCAGGGCCTCCTCGTTCTCTTTCCTGTAGGATGGCTTCATCTGCCATCTTGGCTGCCTGTCTGGCAATCTCCTCACGTTCCTTCTCCCGACACTCATTCTTGTAGCGTTCATAATTTCTGGCCACCAGCACCATGGCATCTGCCTGGGGCATGTTGCGATGCTCTGTAGGAGGGAATGACAAGTTATTTTCTTCTATGACATATCTGAGTGTCCACCTGCTGCACTCGGGCAAGCCTTTCCTAACCTCAAATCAGCAAGAAAACCATTTTGGTGACAAAAAGCCCTGGCACTGGGAGTGAGATAGGAAACGAGGTGAAGGGTAGGAAGGAAGGTGAATGGGTATCATTGGTGGGGATATGCTCCTTTGCATACAGCTGGTTCTTTGGGGGGTATTCTAGATCACAGACTTGTAGTAAAAACCGAAGAAACATGACAGCCTCCCACAGATTCAAACAGATCATGTGGGGAATAGCCCAGGAGGCAGGACCAGCAGCAGGAGGCCAACAAGCTCCTCTGGAAAGCTGGCTCTCCACTGTGCTCAGGACAGAGCTGTTTTTTAATTCATCAGTTCAAAAGTCATGGATTAAGATCAAATTGTGACCCTAAATAACTTCCTCCCCATTGCCCAAGGGCAACATGGTTTACAGGGTGATCAGAAGATTCTTCAGAACTTTATATAAATGGCCTTACATATCTTTTTTTTTTGGAGACAGATCCTCAAGCTATCCTCCTGGGTAGAGTGCTCTGACATCATAGCTCACAGCAACCTCTAACTCCTGGGCTCAAGCAAGTCTCCTGCCTCAGCCTCCCAAGTAGCTGAGACCACAGGCGCCCGTCACGCCTGGCTATTTTTTGGTTGCAGCCGTCACTGTTGTTTGGTGGGCCTGGATTTGAACCCGCCACCTGAGGTATATGTGGCTGGAGCCTTAGCCACTTGAGCCACAGGCGCCAAGCTGACCTTACATATCTTAAGGACTATTCCCCCCCTTTTTTTGAGACAGAGCCTCACTTTTTCAACCTCAGTAGAGTGCTGTGGGGTCGTAGCTCACAACAACCTCAAACTCTTGGGCTCAAGTGATGCTCTTGCCTTAGTTTTTCATTTTTAGTAGAGACGGGGTCTCCCTCATGTTCAGGCTAATCTCAAACTCCTGAGCTGAAGTGATCGGCCTGCCTTGACCTCCCAGAGTGCTAAGATTATAGGAGTGAGCCACCGTGCTCGGCCTTAAGGATTATTCTCAACAGAGATAATGCCCCATTGGAATCCTTACGCATTCTATGGTTATGGGGGTAACTGGTCAGGCAAATAGAGATTTGGCGTACAGTGGGAACAAGGGAAAGTCTGCGGTGGAAAAGTGATGACCATGGCATCAGCTGGCAGAGTCTCAACCCTCTGGGCTTAGAGTAGTAACAGCTACTTCAGGGAAGGACTTGAAGAATACATTCCTAGGCCTCTTCTCTGCATAACCCCTGCTCACTTCTCCAGCACAATTACAAGTAATATCCTATTCTCTGTCCCCCATGAGAAAGTTGGGTGAGGCCAGGTATGGTGTCTGACATCTGTAATCTTAGCACTCTGGGAAGGTGAGGCGAGTGGATTGCTTGAGCTTAGGAGTTCGAGATTAGCCTGAGCAATAGCAAGATCCCGTCTCTACTAAAAACAGAAAAACTAACTGGGTGTTGTGGTGGGTACCTACAGTTCCAGATACTCAGAAGAATGAAGCAAGAGGATCACTTGAACCCCAGAGTGTGAGGTTGCTGTGGGCTTCCACAACGCCATGGCACTCTACCTGGGGCAACAGAGACTCAGTCTCAAAAAAAAAAAAAGCAAACCAAATTTGTATTTTTACTTATAAAAAGGAGATGCTGTGGGTGGTGACTGTGACCCAAGGAGTAGGGCCCCGGCCAAAAACTGCCAAAAAAAAAAAAAAAAAAAGAGAGAGAGAGAGAGATGCTGTCAGGTAAAAATGATAACAAAACCCCGTTCTCCATAGATAATGCAAACAGTCATAGTTATGTGGTCAATGGACAAGGAGCAAGCATTTAATGTCTTTAGCTCCAGTCCTTTGTTTATTTATTACATACTACTCCTGAAATGGCTGGTGGACATTTGGCAACACTAAGTATATGTAATGGCCAAGTATAGCATTATAGGTAACAGGCTCAGAGTGTGCCATCTACTGAGAGAACAAATGAATGATTGTACAAGTCTACTCCAGTGGACTTAGAGAAGGGCCCTACCTTGTCTGAGCTGAGATATATGAGTCATCTGCCCCCAAATCAGCTTCTTATTAGGAGTTAAAAGACTAAAAATGAACTAGTAACTACTTTGGGGATTCTGACCCACTTAAGCCTCTGTACCTTGTGGGGTTCCAAACATGATGTTGACTGTACAAGAGCGGTGAATCTGGTGTTGCTGGGTGATGACAATAGCAAAAGGAGACCCTCCTCTGCTAACATCTTCCAAGGCTTGTGACAGTGACACCTCTGTGTTGAGGAAGATCAAGTCCACTACCATGCCTAGGTCTCGTACCTTCCGCCCCACAGATTCAGCATAATCTCTGTAAAAAACCAGACAGGACTCAGATGAGCACTTCCTAACTCCAAATATGTACACTAGTGCGTCTTAGCCAGCTATGTGTGTTCCTATGGAAAACTCAAATCCTAGCTCACTTTTGGTGCTCTCCTCAGGCTCTGAGGATCCTAGACCAATTCCCTTTCTTTACACTGGCTCAGAATGGTTGTGATTTGCCTGAAGTCACACAGTAAGTTGCCACTAGATAGTATTTGATACCTAGGTCTTTCCTTAACACTATCCTGCTCCCTAAGATTGTGGCAATTGTCTGTCCTTGGGTAGGCTGCAAAACCCAGTAGGAAAAGAATAGGCTTTAATGCCAGAATGTGAGTTCAGATCCCAGTCCTAACATTTACTTGTAAAGTTGTGAAGCTTTAACCAAGTCCTTTTACTTCTTACAAACCTCAGTTTCTTTACTGATGCAACAGGAATAGTATAGCTCAGCTCGTATGTTATTTCCTTGGTCTTTTCTGCAGTCTAATTTAGATCCCTCATATTCTTTTCATAGGACTCACCACTTACATATTTATTTTTGTCACCTGCCCAATTAGAGTATAAGCTCCACAAGTGTGTGTATTTTCTGCTATTATTATAGCCCAAGTACCTAGCATCTGCCATATATATAAGTTGCTGAATTTGCTGAATGAAAACACATTTAATATAATTACTGTGAGAACTAAAAATAAGTTTCTTTAAAGCACCTAGCATGGGGTAGGTACAAAGTAGGTGTTCAGAAAACAGTAGCTATTATTATGTGCCCCCCAAAGCTATCTATAGTTAAAGAAGTCTCTATCTTTGAACAAGACGGCCAAGAGCTTGTAAACTCTGCCTGCCACTTGGTGTCTCAACACTTACTTTCTAGTCAATGCTTGAAATTAGTTCTTTAACCCTAAATTGCTAGGAAATACATGAAGTTATATACTAGGCAGCCCATGCGGGAAAAGAGAACACTGCTGCTGCCAAGACTGTAAGTTACTGTACTCCCTCCTGCTCCTCTGCTTGGCCTCTTCAAGGAGACAATGTAAACAGAGTGGAGTAACAAGATGCAGTGAGCTCTGGCATGGCTAACATGGTCAGCTAACAGTTTCACAAGGCCATGCACAGAGCTTGGCTCCCAACTGACAAAGGCAGAGATACACGTTTTCCAAAGTATTGGTGACTTGAGGTTGTCCCATGGAGCATCTACTCTGTATTCTACTATTAGTACACATGGTTCCACAGGGCTCATCCCACCTATTGTTCTAGGGACAGGCAACTGAGTCAGGTCAGTTTCCAACGAGAAACAATTCCAGGATGTTAGGTGGGGACACTGGGAAAGAAACACTTTCCACTGGATTTGCTAAGCTAAGAAGACAAATGTCTGGGGCCAGTCCCAAGCTGCCACACTGAGGAAAGCAGTGGTAAGACTCCAAGACCAAGCCTTGGTGATATGGCTTGACCCTAGTTGTGGCCATGCCTAAACTGCCCAGTTAAGCAAACTAAAAATGCTGCTTTTGGGGTTAAGACAGTCTGAATTGAGTTTTCTAGTACCTACAACATAAAGAACTCTAACACAGCACAGCAATGCCAGAATACCTGGCCCATGTCAGTGGGTAGAGTGGCTACGCAGGAGCCTGGATTTCTCTTCTGACTCTTCTCCTTAGTTGAGAGAAATATACTCAAAGGGTTCTTACTTAGTCTGTTTGTTGACCACAATCACAGAACAATCCACAGGCCGCTCAGCATCGAACCGTCTCTGGATTTCCTCAAAATATTGGCGGTAAAGCTCTTCTCTACGTCGTTCCTCACGTTTCAAACGCTCTGTAAGATACCACCAGAGAAAACTGCAATAAGGACTAAGTCACGGGCCTTATTTTAAATCCTGAACTACTTGTAGGCAAAAGTCATGACATACTAATATTTTCTGAATCAATCCTCTAGTCTAACTCTTCTTTTTTTTTTTTTTCTGAGACAGATTCTCAAGCTGCCACCCTGGGTAAAGTGTCATGGCGTTATAGCTGACAGCAACCTCCAACTCTTGGGCTCAAGTGATCCTCTTGCCTCAGTTTTTCTGTTTTTAGTAGACATGGGGTCTCGCTTTTGCTCAAGCTAGTCTCAAACTCATGAGCTGAAGCTATGCACCTACCTTGGCCTCCCAGAGTGCTAGGATTATAGGTGTGAGCACTGTGCCCAGGCTAGTTTAACTCTTAAAAATAAACATTATTATTCTTTTGTTATAAACTCATCAAAATGTAATGGTTGGATTAAAGGACATAGCCACTTTAATGTTTCATTTTACTGCCTCCAGAAAGGCTGTTAGTAAGTTATACCGCCACAGAGGTGGATTGTTTAAAGCAGTGGTTCTCAACCTATGGGTCATGACCCCTTTGGACAGTATTAAAGGGTTGCAGCATTAGGAAGGTTGAGAACCAGTGATCTAGAGCCTATTTCCCCATAACTTAGCCAACACTGAGTACTGTCATTCTTTTTAATACTTCCCAACTTGACAGATAAAAATGGCATTTTGTTATTATTCTAGTCTGCTTTTTTGCTTTTTGTTTTTTTTGAAAAAAAGAAGTTTTATAACAAATTAGAAATAAAGTTCCTAGAGATATAGGGCCAGGTATAAAATAATTTTAAAATGTTTAAAGATATATTGAGAAAAAACAGGCTTTTAAAAAACAAGTTGTCTTTAGGGTAGTGCCTGTGGCTCAAAGGAGGAGGGTGCCCGCCCCATCTACCAGAGGTGGCAGGTTCAAATCTGACCCCAGGCAAAAACTGTTAAAAAAAAGAAAAATCTTTACCTAAAAAAGAGATGCTGTTCAGTAAAAAAGGACAAATAAAACAAACAAAACCCCATTCCTCATAAGTACCGGAGATAGTTACCTGGTCAATGAGCAAGACACAATCACTTATTGACTTTAGTTCCAATCTTTTGTTCATTTCTTAATTTGGTATTTATCCCCTCTTGTTGGATGACTAAACCAGATAAATGGAACAATAGTACTCATCCACAGGTTTTAAAATTTTTTGGACAGGATATCTCACTGTCTCCTAGGCTTGAATGCAGAGGTCCAATTATAGCTCACTGTAATCTTGGAACTCTAGGTTCAAGCAATCCTTCTGCCTCAGCCTCCTGAATAGTGAGGACTACAGGCATGTGCCAGCATGTACACATGACTTGTTTTTAGAGACAGACTCTTACTATGTCGCCCTTGGTAGAGTACTGTGGCATCATAGTTCACAGCAACCTTCAATTCGTGGGCCTAAGTGACTCTCTTGCCTCAGCCTTCCAAGTAGCTGGAACTACAGGTGCCTGCCACAACTCCCGGCTATTTTATTTTGGTTGTAGTTGTTGTTTGGCAGGCTCAGGCTGGGTTTGAACCAGCCAGCTCTGATGGATGGGGCTGGTGCCTTAGCCGCTGAGCCTATACAGGTGACTTTTAAAAAAATTATTGTGGTAGAGATTGGGTCTGGCTATTTTGCCCAGGCTGGTCTTGAACTCCTGGTATCTAGTGATCCTTGTATCCTGGCATCCCAAAGTACTGAACTGTAGGTGCTTGAACCACTGCATTCAGTCTTAATTTGCATTTTACAAATTACTTATTATTATTATTTTTTTTTTTTGCAGTTTTTGGCTGGGGCTGGGTTTGAACCCACCACCTCCAGCATATGGGGCTGGTGCCCTACTTCTCTGAGCCACAGGACCTGCCCACCATTTACAAATTATTTTCAAGTCAAATGTTTTCTACATGTTAATAGACAACTTGTCATTTCTTCTTATCAACTGTCTGGACTTGGCATTAGCCCTCTTCAGTTGGGGGACTGGTTATTAGTTTACTCTACTTTTGTAAAATATCCCATCAGTAACAGGAATGGACTATTTCTGCTACTTTACCTTTTGCACGCGACTGACTTTCTGGGCCAGGAGGGCCTCGCCCATCAAAGCTATCTCTGTAACGGTCAAAGTAAGAGTCATCTTTTCTCCTGCAATAATCATCCATTCGTAGGTATCGGTCATAAGAGCCTTCTCTCCTGCAAAGTTAAAGAAATTTCCACAAAGATAAAATTCTGTCCTATTCTGCAAAAATCAAATACAGAGAATTCTTTGGGATGACAAATGAGGTTTATATCATTTGGATATAAGAGCCACTGCTTATCAGCTCTGTGGCTATGATTAACTAGTCTCAAAAAATGATGGGAGGGGATGAACAGAGATGATGCACAGAAAAGCACTTAGCACAGTCCTTAGCATATAGTAAATGCAAAATAACTTGCAGAAATTATTAATTAGTTTTGAGGAACCATTCCATGGCCTGCTCTGACAAATCTCCCTTCCTTACGCTTTCTAAAAGCTGTAGTAACATATAATATTTAATATATAGTATTTTACCACTTTAACCATTTTTAAGTACATAATTCAGTGGTATCACATTCACAATTCTGTGCAACCATCACCGCAAACAGATTTAAACTGTTATACCTTCATGTACAACTACCTGAATCTCTCTTTGCAAATTTTTGGGTATATACTTGGAAGGAAAATTGATGGATCATATAGTAATTCTATGCTTTAACATTTTTAGGAAATGTCAAACTGTTTTCTACAATGGCTACACCCTTTTACATTCCCACCAGCAATTTATGAGGGTTCCAATTCCTCCAAACCTTGCCAACATTAGTTATTTCATGTATTTTTTAAAAAAAATTATGATAGTCATCCTAGTTGGTGTAAAATGGTATCTTACTATGGCTTTGATTTGCATTTCTCTGATGACAAGTGATATCGAACATCTTTCCATGTATCTTTTGGCTATCTGTGTAACTCCCTTGTTTTTGCATTGCCATCATGATTTATACTCCATTTCTTTTCCATATGCACAATATTGCCTTTCATAAGCCATGGAGATCAGATGCATTCACTAATTTTAGTTTATCAATCATTGACACATTGGCAAAATTTACTAAGCACTGAAAATATAAGGCTAAAAAAAACCACTGCCGTTACAGAGCTGTCAATTAGTTCAGCACACACATTAACAAAAGGCTCACAAAAAAGCAAGCAGAATGGCTGTGGATGTACCTGTACATATGATCTCGGGAGTCTCTCATGTCTCTGTATCTGTCATACATAGGGTCCCGGTGATCTCGAAAATCCCTAGAGTCTCTTAGATCACGAAAGTCTCTAAGATCCCTCATGTCCCGAGCATCACGCATACTTCTGCTGTCTCTGTGATCCCGAATGTCTCTGTCTCTGTGGTCCCGCAAGTCTCGGGGGTCTCGAATCTCTCTGCTTTCCCGGGCATCTCGGCCATTTCTGCCATCCCTAGGCTCTCTCCTTGGACTTCCTCGAATTGGAGATCGATCACGTCTTGAATCTCTACTGTCTCCAAAGCCATATGGATCCCTGTGGAATGTAGCAAGAAGAAACTAAGACAAATTGAAGATAGCCAATCTGTCAGTTCTTTGTAAGAAGAAAGCTTTCACCCTCCGAGCATTTTTCTTCAAACAGGGCAGCCAAACAGTGAGAATATGACTAAAATTTTAATGATAGTTCACTCATCTGGTTGGCAATAGTCTAGAAGGTTCTAGAATCTCAAAAGTAAGACTTCAAAGAAAGAATGTATGACTGAAGGCAAAGGTCTAGACTGGGATAACGCTACTTGTCAGGCTTCAGGAGTAAATCGTCATTTTTGTATCAAAAGGTTTTCAAAATGGAAGTATCTTTCCCCTAGACCCTATTTATCTCTTACCAGACTTGTTTGAAAGAGACTTTACAAAAAGTTGGGAGGACACAGTAAGGGGTAAGACTCAAGAAGAATATAAGAGCAAATGGCACAATCTTCTACAAAGTGATCAAAGAACTGTCCTTAAAGTACAGAAAACTTCATACTTAAGATATCTAGCATAAGCCAGATGTAGTGGCTCACACATGTAATTCTAGCAGCTTGGGAGGCTGAGGCAGGAGGATCACTTGAGCCCAGGAGTTTGAGACCAGCATGGACAATAGTACAATCCTGTCTCTACAAAAATGAAAAAAAAAAAAAAATTAGCCAGTTGTGGTGATGCAGGGTTGTAGTCCCAGCCACTTAGGAGGCTGAGGTAAGAGAACTGCCTGAGCCCAGGAGTTTGCAGTGAGCTATGATCAGGCTACGATACTTTATTTAGCCCAGGCAATTTAGTGAGACTCTGTTTAAAAAAAAAAAAAA